CTGCAATATAACAAAGAGTGAAAAATTTAAGGGGGTCTGAATACTTTCCGTACCCACTGTATATCTCACACATCAACGAGCATCAAAACGGCATTTATTGAATGAAATACCGAAACTGAAATACCAATACCAAAAATTTTTAGTACGAATACATGTACTTACAGCCCTAGCAGATTTTTAATGTTTTTTAAAGACGTTTCTTATGCTTATCAAGGTTGTATTTATTTGAAGAAAAATACAGAAAAAAATTGAATTTTGTGAAATATTATTGCATTTTAAAATAACAGTTTTCTATTTTAATATACTTCAAACTATCATTTATTACTGTGATACAGCGCTGAATTTTCAGCATCATTGCTCCTGTCTCATGATCCTTCAGAAATCATTCTAATATGCTGATTTATTATCAATGTTGGAAACAGTTGTGCTGATTCATATTTTTTGGGACATGTGATACTTTTTTCAGGATTCTTTGATAAATAAAATGTTAAAAAGAATAGTGTTTATTCAACATAGACGTTTTGTGTTACAAAATACACTACTATTCAGAAGTTCGGGGTCAGTCAATTTTTTCTTTCTTTTTTTTTTAAAGAAATTGATACTTTTATTCAGCAAGGATGTGTTAAATGGATACACAGTGATAGTAAAGACTTATATTGTTAGAAAAGATTTCTATTTTGAATAAATGCTGTTCTTTTGAACTTTTTATTCATCAAAGAATCCTTAAAAAAGCATCACAGCTTCCAAAAAACAACAGTTTCAACACTGATAATAAATCACATATTATAATTATTTCTGAAGGATCATGTGAAACTGAAGACAGTGTCACAGAAATAAATTATATTTTAAAGTATATTGAAACAGGAAACCAATATTAGATATTGCAATAATATTTCACAATATTACTGTTTTTCTATATTTTTGATCAAATAAATACAGCCTTGATGAGCATAAGAGACTCCATTAAAAATCTTACTGATCCCAAACTTTTGAATGGCAGTGTATGTACTGCACACTTTCTCTCAATAACTAAATAAACGCTGAACAAAACTGATGAGGGTGAGATGAACCAGAGAAGATTTCCACATTAAAGATGATGGAGCCCCAGAGCACACGTACCTATCAAGTAGTTCGAAGGTTTTTACCAGCTGGAGCACACTTTTTCAGAAAGTTTGTTCTGGAAAGCTGTTCCGAGCTCCCGAAATGAACTTTATTTTGTTTGAAATGACATCACACCAGAAGTATATGGAGGCCTTCAGTCTCTCTGTTGAGAAAGACAGATGCTCCAGCTGTTCAACTCCTTTCAGACGCACAGCTGGAGCTCTGTGTTTTTGAGCGCTCGCAGTGTCACCAGAGAGCCAGAAGAGAACCAGTAAAACGGTCATGTATTAATGTAGCAGCACGAGTAAAAAGCAGCTTCTTTAAGTGACTGTCTACTGCCTTACAAACAGGGGTGATTTTTAACGTATAATAATGTAACTTCTTGATAATTACATCATGCCATTTGTGTGCTTAATTTATGAGAGTGGTATATTTAATCTAAATGTGTAAATATAAAGCATTCTGTTTACTTCATCGCTATCGCATAGTAAAAGAGTCCAGAGAGTGTGGTGCTGCGCACATAATTGCACCGTTTATGGTTCGTGACAAGGTTTATCCACCTTTTTCTTGCTCCCCATGACGCTTTGCGCTAATTATGGGAATAACTTCCGTTTACACTGTAAACAATCAGCAAAAGGTTTTCTCTATGAACGCAATAATAAGCATTTTCAAAAACTGGGTACAATGAGGTGACAGTATTTTACTCACCCTTCAACCATCGATCATTAAAAGGAAATTTATAAGTGTTAAAGCATTAAAAAATTACTTTAAACATACCATAAGTCCTAAAGATCCTCCTTCTATCCGCAGCAATATTACGGACGTGTTAAATATCATTATAGTAATATACTGTATGTCTATATTTCGTAACAATTACATTTCACAGCATCCGTGTGAAAACAAACCTGGAAAGAGGTGTGAGGATTTGGGGAGAAAAATCAAAGATTCCCAGTGCATTCCAGGGAATTATTCATGGTTTATATTGTAAATTAAATCGGGAGAGCAGACCACAAATGCACAAGATATGTTGTCTTTTTTCATTTGCTTACAGTGGAATACAAAGGAAACATGAAAATAATCAGGAGGAAAATAATGCAGGGGGCTGAAAAGAGCTATTCTATAGATATTAATATACCAAACGTTATTCTCCTGACTCCTGAAAATAGAAAATGAATGAAAATGTACAGCCCATATTCAGTCAAAATGACAGATAATCTTATGATCTGAAATGATTTGTTGCAGTCTTTTTAAGTGGAACCTCCCCAAACTGGAAGTGCCTCCCATAATTTAAAATGCAGTAGGCTCTTCAGGAAAAAGGTGGATAGATCAGGCCAGTCTGACGGGTGCAAATATATTTTGTGTTACTTTAATGAATTCAATTATGAAGAACGACTGGAGACGGATTGGAGATGATTTTACTTGGCGTTCTAAGCCATCTGCATGTTATATTTTTTCAAAGGCTTTCAAAAAGTGTTGGGGACATGTCCCACCCGTCCAACCCGCACATGGCGCCTAAGCCTGTGAGAGTGTTTGCATGGTGTTGTTGTGTAATGCTGTGTTGTGCTGTGTTCATCCTCTTTCTAACCCAGGTGCCTTCCAGGATACACAGGGAACCGCTGTCAAACCTCAGACCCTGTGAGAGTCGTAGACCCCAAACGTATGTGCAGTCAGTGAGCATCCCCTTCACCCCCAAACACACATGCCATCGCCGCTGTTTCCGCGCTGTTTTCCTCGCCGCCTCCGCCGTTCACAAAGCGTTCTCTCTGTCACGGTTGACTGTTGATTGGCTCTTGGAAGCAGAGACGTTTGCGAGACGTTCAGCGGGCAACACCGGAGACACGTGTGTGTGCGGGGGACTTCTGGGTGTCAAACTCACTTCCTGTCTTCCTCTCTTTTCTCTCTGTGACTTCTGTCTTTCCCTCTCAGGTGCCCCAATGAGTTTACTGGTGATCGCTGCCAAAACTACGTAATGGCCAGCTTCTACAGTACGTCTATTTCCTCTTCCTGTCTGTGCTTGGATTGGAGCATGCTCAGTCAGGGCTTCCTCCTGTTGCTTTGTTTTTGTGCTCTCGATGGACAGGAAGTCAGATCAGACTGTGATCTAGTTATTGTGGGATTCTGTTTATGTTTTCCATTACTTCTGTGTGCATGTTTAGTGTTTATTAATCAAGTTTTGTTCTGTTGGATGCTAGTCAGTGTGTGCGGGGGACTTCTGGGTGTCAAACTCACTTCCTGTCTTCCTCTCTTTTCTCTCTGTGACTTTTGTCTTTCCCTCTCAGGTGCCCCAATGAGTTTACTGGTGATCGCTGCCAAAACTACGTAATGGCCAGCTTCTACAGTACGTCTATTTCCTCTTCCTGTCTGTGCTTGGATTGGAGCATGCTCAGTCAGGGCTTCCTCCTGTTGCTTTGTTTTTGTGCTCTCGATGGACAGGAAGTCAGATCAGACTGTGATCTAGTTATTGTGGGATTCTGTTTATGTTTTCCATTACTTCTGTGTGCATGTTTAGTGTTTATTAATCAAGTTTTGTTCTGTTGGATGCTAGTCAGCTGACGATGGTTAGACAGGGCTGACATTCATCGATCTGGACATGTTAGTTATCAGGGGTTTCTCTGCTTCACATCATCTTAGACTTAAACAGGAACAGACGAATCGAGGTTTGTCTGCGGACAAAATCACAGCAACTGGCTCATGATATGTTATGAACAGTGACTTTACTCTCGGCTCATCAACATGTTTTTTTGAGCTAGTCCTGTAAAATGACTAAGGGTCCTTAGTCTAAACAGTGAACATTTGTGCTTGAATATTTTCTCGTTTTTCTTTTAAAAAATACTGCTGAATTCTTGAAAATGTTTCGTTTGGAACAGTGTTGTTATTGTTTGCTAAAAACTAAAACTATTACAAATCATTTTCATTTGTTAAGCTGAAATAAAATTAAATATAAATATTAGATGAAAAACATAAATGTAAAGAAACTTCAATGGAAATTAGGAATATTGCATTAGCAGCTGCAGTAGCTGAAATAAGTTTAATATGTTTAGATGACTAAAACTAAATCTGAAATTAAAATAAATTAAAGCTCAATAGAAATATTTTCATAATTAAAAATATCAAACGCACATAAAATGAAAATAAAAAAGAAAATAAATAAAATTAAAACTAACTATTAAACTATATTATTAAAAACAAAAATAGTATATAAATAAAACTTAAAATAACACTGCTTTAGAATTCCCATATTTTATCATTTATAATTGAAATAATAATAATAATAATAATAACAACAATAATAATCTGTCCTAATAACCCAATATGACATTTCTTTTTCAAAACATATTTGTAAAAAAACAAATTTGAATTATTAAATGTATAAAATAGTATAAGTTCAGTGCCCTGCGCACAACTTGCACCTTTCTCTGAGAATTACCCTATTAAAGTGGCCTACCACAGTAAAAAACATCATTTCTTTAATTCTTGTCTCTGAAGCAGATCTGAAGGACCCCTGCTGAAACCCATCAGTACACCATGAACCTTGCTCAAAAGAGACGTCAAATAGGACTTTATATATTATGGAGCAGACAGAACATCTTCATCGATTTATCTAAAGTGCTAAAAAAAAAGCTAAATTTACTGGAGATCTGCAGACAATCTATTCTCAGCTATTAATAGTGTTTGCTAATGTGTCCTTCATAGCATGACCTCCATCAGTAGAGATGCACTGGCACAGTGTCCAGAGAGGATTTATCACTGATCAAGATCAGAGCTATCAGTCAACGGCTAAACCATTGGCCCTCTAACAACACTTCATTATTAGCTCAGCATTCCAGTCAAACAATTGATAAGCAAGGGAGATTATTTTAAATTATATTAAAATTGGTCATTTTACATTTTTGTGATTGTAATATGACTCCAGTTTATGGCTGGAGAGATATTTTTATGCATTCTGTGTTTATGGCTAAGAATGACATTATTTTTTGTCATTTGATCAGAAATCCGTATGTGCTATATATTTCTGAGAACCTCATTATTCATTTCAAATTATATTTCTGGAACCTGTTCTCAATGTACAGGGGAATCAATTTGCTAGCTATATTGCTTTCAAATTGTGACTGGCTCAGGTTTCAGACAAGCAGAATCAGGTTTTCTTTCTGATCGTCACAGATAGTTTAGGTGACAGCGATGTGCATGTGTTTAACAGCATGTTTATCTAAAACATGTGCTGGTGTAATGACATGAATAACCGAGTCTGACTTTGTCCGTAGTGAAATGTGGAGGGTCGGTCTCTATAATGATGTGAGCGCAGTGACATCTGCATGTGCATGTCCTTGTGTCATGATGACAACCAACCGTACGAGTCTGTATATAGAGATGCACATCGCTATATACGTGTGACAAACCATCCATGTGTCTCTTAATGAACACTAAAAGCATTAAACGATGCATATTCATGGTGGGTTTAAAGTCAAACAGAATAGGTTTGAATGATTTATTTTCCAATGTCTTGTGTGTCTGTGTGATGTACCATGCTGTACTCTACATGCTGAGATGATTTCAGTGTTTTCGGAGGTGCTTTGAGGTGGTGTTTGTGTGCAGTCAGTCAGAGTTGACATCACCGCTCAACTGTTTTCTGTTTGTTTGTGTTTTGCTTTCTTTTCATCACCTTATCTGCCTTTGCAGAACATCTTGGGATTGAATTTATGGGTATGAATCGTTCTTTCCTCCTAGTTTGCAGATTCGTAGGTCTAGAAGCTTGAGCCTGTTTCCTTCAACTTCAGCTGGTTTCCTTTTGCTCATGAAGGGATCAAACAGCCATAACAAGATGATTAGAGATTGACATCATTATTATTCTTTATTTATTAATGCACTGGGCTTCAGATGGCTGCTCAGAGCCACTCTGCAGGTTTCTAGTGTTTTAGGCAAGAAAGTGGATAGCCGCTCCAAAGCATGTGATGTGCAGGGGGCATTAGCCTGCATTGTAGGAAGGATGCTGTTAATTATTCATGAAGACCTCTGATATCTCCTATTCAAAGCAGATATGTAAGGCTCTCTCACACACGCACACACAGAGGCAGCTAGAATAATTCACACACAGTTCAGCTGTGCAGAAGAGAAGCCGCACTGCAGTAGTTATGCTGTGTTTAGATCCCTTCAGCTTTGCTTTGCCCTCCATTCATGCATCCCTCTATCTTCAGCATGACGTCGAATTCCTCACTTTCTTACGTGTTTTCTCCCATTTTTCTGTTTCTTCCTCAGTGTTTTACCAGTGTCTGTTTGTAGTGATTGCCATTGTGTTGTGTGCATCAAGAATATGCTATACTTAGAGATTGAAGATCTAAATCAAATGGGTGGTAGTGTTTGCTCACAGGCCTCAATAACGTTTATTGTGACAGTATTCTGTGCTAAAAAAGACCCTGTGAAGTCAAAAATAATCAAAATGATCTTTTTTGCAGAGAAAATGGCCAAAAAATATTGATGACACCATATTGCACTCAGGGGTGTGTACAGTTTTTTGTCCAATCAAATGCTCTTTGGAATGAGAATGCCCCGCCCCCTCATACAGGGCTGTCTAAACCTGTTCTTGCAGGACCTTCCTGCAGAGTTAGGGTGTGTTCACATGTGTAGTTCAGTTCTCTTGGTACATTTGGTCCTGATCCGGTTAGTGTTCACACTAGCATTTTTGACAGCGAACCTAAAGATACCAAACCTAAAGGCAGGGCTGTACATATATGTCGCACTTGCTACGAAAAAAACTGGTCTGTGCGATTAATACATTTACGACTTTAGCACACGTGCGTCTCAATATACTGTACAATGCGACATACATTCACAACAAATGTTAACTCAGCGGTAGAGTTACACTCACGGGACACAATCACAAAAGTACATTTTTTGCATGTGCTTTAAAGCCTTGCCGGTTAAACATTTAATTCACGTGCTGTTCTAGCATGCGTTTTTTTCTGAGCGCGAACACATGAAGCGCGTGCACACCGCACACTAAAACAGCGCCTGCCTGATTACTAGACTATCTTTTGTGTCTGATTGATTTTGCTAATACTGTCAAAAACACACAAGGTTTACATATAAACACAGTTGGTTATGTCTAAAATGAAAGTAAACATTTGAGAGAGAAACGGATGCGTGCAGCTCTTAAAGCGACAGTACTAAACATGCTGCCGCTTATTTCTGTCATTATTTGCTCACTCACATGTTGTCCCAAACCTGTATTAATTTCTTTCTTGTGCTGAACACAAAAGAAGATATTTTGATGAATGTGGGTAACCAAACCAAACGGTTTATTTTCTTATAACAAAGATAAAATAATGACAAGGATTTTTATCTTTGCCCACTTTGGCCTAAATGTCTGCCATTCTTTTTTATTTAATATTTTGTTGAGGTGTAGGAGGTGTTATGCTTCTGCACTCTTCCATTTTTAGCAAATAAAGAAAAAAAACTGTCTAAAAACAATTTTTGTGATGGTTTGTATTTTCTGTGCTCTGTATGGAACATCAATGCCTGTTTAAGTCATGAACTCCATTACTTGTGTTTGTTTTCAGACATGATAACAGACGTTTTATTCGTGTGCTACAACTGTTTGGCCTGTGCTACAAAACTTTCAACCTCTGTAGCGCCAGTGCTATGTGCAAAAAAAGTTAATGTACAGCCCTGCTAAAGGCATAGCATACGTCCACAACCTGATTGGTCGCACCAGAGTTTGTTTGGAAGCGGACCGAGACCCATCTTTTTAGTGGTCTCGGTCCGCTTAGGGTTCGGATGGCAGCATTCACACTTACTCGAACAGCACTAACAGAGCGACCGCGCCAGAGTTCATTTTAATCGAGCCAAACATGACAAGTGTGAACACACAGTTAAACTCCAACACACCTGCGTCGGGTCACCTTGCAGGTCCTGAAGACCTTGATTAGATGTGTTCAGTTAGGGTTAGAGCTCAATTCTGCAGCAAAGTGGCCCTCCACAAGCAGGATTACACACGCCTTGACTATTGCAAGCAGCAAATGGATGTCATGTAAACTAAACCCAGTTTATAAGAAATTTGCTATGACCCATGCCAAACTGTATGTCAACACAGGAAAGAAAAATATGCTTGTCAAACATTTTCACGGGGTCTTTTCAGCCATTCGGTTACCAAACTGTGAGTTTACACCACTACCAGTTCATGACTTTTTATTAAAGCCTTTAGCATCCATATCTATTGAACGTTCACAAAAATACACATCAAAACAGACTAACAAATGAACAATATGAAAAAAGAACACAACTTGCTGAAGGCTTCGATAAATGCAGTCTGTCAGTGTTGTGATTAAACCTCATAATGAAATGGGTGAAATGCATGACTGAGTGTTGAAGACATCCCAGAGGCCTCGGGCCCTGCAGAGTTTGCATTTCATGTAATTGTGATGACATGATGATTCTGAAGTGACCTTGAATTAACACGTCCCGTTGTCTCCTCCCCTCCCCTCTCAGCAAAACTACATCCTGAGATCAATAAGCATCTGTGTGTCCTAGTAGCAGTAAACCCCCAGCGTCACTGGAAACATACATGTGTTCTTACTTGGAAATCTGTTAGACATAGCTATTATTATTTTGAAAATTCCAAGTAAGAATGTGACTGAGATGTGTGTGTGTTTCACCTGGAAGCTTCAAAAGCAGTCTGTGCTCTCTTCCAGAAGCTGAGGAGCTCTATCAGAAACGTGTTTTGACTATAACAGGCATCTGCATCGCTCTTCTAGTTGTTGGCATCATGTGTGTGGTGGCTTACTGCAAAACAAAGTAATTCCCTTTTTGAAATGTCTTAGTTTGTACTAATGTTTCACTCAAAAACTAAAATTATTGCTAGTCGTTGAATGCGTTCTCCTGCGGTCTAAGAGCTGTTCGTGTTTTTGCACATGTAGGAAACAGAGGAAGAAGTTGCATGATCGTTTGCGGCAGAGTTTACGAGAGCGAAACGCTGCGGCCAAAGGCCCTCAGCACCCCCACCCTCCACCCGAAAACCTGCAGCTGGTCAATGTGAGTACCGGTACCGGAAACATTTTTAACCCTGTACACTGCACTTTAAAACAGTGTTGAGAAAAGAAGTTGTCAGAAAAAAACGATGCCATTTATGTTAAGATTAGGTCAACAAGTATTGTAACAATCACCTAAAAACTTCAACTTCAACTTAAATTTATTTCAGTCCTTTTCACAATAAATAAAAATAAAAATATATATAATAACTGAAAAAGGTGTAGGTCGAAGCCTTTGATTATTATACATATTTATCTGACGAGTGTCACTTTTTCACTGGATTTGATAATACAAGATAAACAAAACAGTGACATAAGACATTTCTCTTCAAATGTACACACATAATTACAAAAATACACATTCCAGATATTGTTTCAATAGTTTATTACATACACTAATTTATTTATCACCTTGTTTTTAATTATTTTCTTAAATTTGAAAAGTGAAATGCATGATTTCAATTCCTTATCACAATTATTTCACAGATTTACCCCTTTGACAGATATACACCTATTTTTTGTATTAGTTCCTGCCCTTATATATTTTTTTAAACATACACATTCCTATTAGTTTATATTGACTTTCTCTTATTTCAAACAGCCTCTGGATACAATTTTAAAAAGCAATATTAAATGATGTAACAAAAAAAACAAAAACAAAAATGTTAAAGTTGTTAAACAAAGTGTATAACATGGTAAAAGAAAAACTGGTACAACAATCGACTTTTGTCTGATTTCAGCATTACATGCCGAAAAATAGCATCCCTCCTCTTGTGCACGTGACGGACAAAGAAGTGGAAACATCTCTCTCTACAAACGAGTTTACTTCATCAACACATCCGTCCACTGCTGTCTCTCACTCCTCCAGCCAGAGGTACAGTACAGTACATAACAACAGCATACACACAAGATCACTAGCTGGAAAAATCTAATGTCACTCAAACCATGTCATATTTATTTGTATATACAACTTTGTACAATATAACTCTACAATATAATTGTACAATATAACTGTGTAACTGTGCAAAGCAGCTTTACAGGAAGTTATTTTGTAACATTATATTTATACTGTAGTGTATTTGTGTATGTAATATCTTTAAAGTCATGGCTGCCACAGTAGCATAGAAGTCCCATTCTTTTAGGATTTTTTTAAAAAGACAGATTGACCATTACGTGACGGACAAAGAAGTGGAAACATCTCTCTCTACAAACGAGTTTACTTCATCAACACATCCGTCCACTGCTGTCTCTCACTCCTCCAGCCAGAGGTACAGTACAGTACATAACAACAGCATACACACAAGATCACTAGCTGGAAAAATCTAATGTCACTCAAACCATGTCATATTTATTTGTATATACAACTTTGTACAATATAACTCTACAATATAATTGTACAATATAACTGTGTAACTGTGCAAAGCAGCTTTACAGGAAGTTATTTTGTAACATTATATTTATACTGTAGTGTATTTGTGTATTTAATATCTTTAAAGTCATGGCTGCCACAGTAGCATAGAAGTCCCATTCTTTTAGGATTTTTTAAAAAAGACAGATTGACCATTATCTCCTTATTTTTTTTACATATTGTTTTGTAGAAGCCAAATATATATGTGACCCTGGACCACAAAACCAGTCTTAAGTGTACATTTTTCAAAATTGAGATTTATACATCATCTGAAAGCAGAATAAATAAGCTTTCCATTTCCAAGGTTTGTTAGGATAGGATAATATTTGGCTGAGATACAACTATTTGAAAATCTGGAATCTGAGGGTGCAAAAAATCTAAATATTGAGAAAATCATCTTTAAAGTTGTCCAAATTAAGTTCTTAGCAATGCATATTACTAATCAAAAATTAAGTTTTGATATATTTATGGTAGGAAATTTCCAAAATATCTTCATGGAACATGATCTTTACTTAATATCCTAATGATTTTTGGCATAAAAGAAAAATCAATCATTTTGACCCATACAATGTATTTTTGGCTATCGCTACAAATATACCCCAGCGACTTAAGACTGCTTTTGTGCTCCAGGGTCACATATATATACACTGCCGTTCAAAAGTTTGGGATCAGTAAGATTTTTAATGTTTTTTCAAAGATGTTTCTTATGCTCATCAAGGATGCATTTATTTGATCAAAAATATAGAAAAAAACAGTAATATTGTGAAATATTATTACAATTTAAAATAATGGTTTTCTATTTTAATCTACTGTAAAAAATAACATTTATTCATGTGATGCAGCGCTGAATTGTCAGCATCATTACTCCAGTCTTCAGTGTCACATGATCCTTCAGAAATCATTCTGTTATTAATAATATGCTGATTTATTATCAGTGTTGGAAACAGTTGTGCTGCTTAATATTTTTTTGGAACCTGATACTTTTTTCAGGATTCTTTTTCAGGTTTAAAAGATCAGCATTTATTCAAAATAGACATATTTTCTAACAATATAAATCTTTACTATCACTTTTTTTATTATTAATTCATCACATCTCTGCTAAAAGAAAAAATATTAATTTATTTTAAAAAACATTTGAATGGTAGTGTATATTATTACAAAAGATTTTTTTTTTTTTTTAATGTTCTTTTTTTACTTTTTATTCATCAAAGAATCCTGAAATAAAGTATCACAGTTTCCAAAAATATATAAATTAAGCAGAAAAAAACTGTTTCCATTATTGATAATAAATCAGCATATTAGAGTGATTTCTGAAGATCATGTGACACTGAAGACTGGAGTAATGATGCTGAAAATACAGCTACAGCTGCGCATCACAGGGATAAATTATGTTTTAAAGTATATTAAAATAGTAAAGCATTATTTTAAATTGCAATAATATTTCATAATATTACTGTTTTTTCTGTATTTTTGGTCAAATAAACACAACTTTGATGAGCATAAGAGTCTTCTTTAAAAACCTGATCCAAAAGTTTAGTGAATATCTGTTAAAGTACTACACCACCTATAATACTGAAGTAAGATCCACGAGAAGTCTTTGTAACCATTGAAAACCACTGAAATGACTTTGGAGAAAGTGGTATGTCTGAAACCAAGGGACAGTGGCTGTTTAAAGATGAAGAATCATGGTGAAAGAACAGCACATGACTAGAGGATGTGTGTGATGAGTGGCTTTGGCTTTGGCTTCTCACAGCTGGAGTAATGGGAAAGCAGAGAGCGTGGTTTCTGACAGTCACGCAGTCCTGGTCAAGTCATCGGTGGAGAACTGCCGGCATGGTACGCCTGGTCACAGGGGGCGTCTGAATGCTACAGGAGGAGTCCATCAGCTCAACAATCACCTGAAGAGCTCCAGAGGAGCCCAGGGCTCTTGCAGAGACTCCCCCTACAGCGAGAGGTACCGTTCAATGCATAGCGCTCCTGCAGGATCCCATCTCTCCTCACTGAGGATTGTAAATAAATATTCTGTCTTACATAATGAGCAGAGTTCTGTCATGACAACTCTCGGAGGGTTTACCAAGGTAATGTGAATGTGTTTGGTCTTGACAGAATAGATCTGCTACACTGCTGCGGCAGAGCAAGTAATGACGTGATACTGCCAACACATCCACAACATGCTGCTGTGAGCATGTAAGGGTGTACTCACACT